GACTCGAGTTACCAATTTGATGACTTTGGACTCGACTTGACAAAATCACAAAACACTTGCGACTCGACTTGGACACCAATGACTCGGGACTTGACTTGGACTTGAGCCTTCTGACTTGAGGTGACTTGATAATTTAATTCAGGGGTCTCCAACACGCCGATCGCGAGCTGCCGTTAGGAGAGCAGAATCTTCAGCCGCTGCAACTCTTGCTGAGAATCCATGCAGGCAGGGGCGGGACTTTATTTTGCTGAACCACCATGCGGCCAATCATATGCGAGGACACACTAGGATCATACCATTATGTGAAAGAAGGGTGGGGGGCAGACGCTCCAAAGACAGCAGGTGTAGTGGTACAGGCCAGCTACAGAGCCACGGGGAGACGGGGAGCCGGAAAAAGTCAAGACATTTGTGAAAACCGAAAAAATAAGCAGCATCTGGCTGCATGTCAATGATATTGGAGAAAGCAAAGCTGAGTGCAGGATTTGTAAAATGAAAATAACCTTCAGAGCAGGGTTTTTTTTTTGGTAACCACTCAGGATTTATTGCCAGAGGTGGGAGAAGTTCAGATCTTGTACTTGAGTAACAGTACCAGAGTGTAGGAATACTCGGTTACAATAAAAGATCCTGCATTCAAAATGTTACAAGTAAAAGTACAAAAGTATTAGCATTCAAAATGTTACAAGTAAAAGTACAAAAGTATTAGCATCAAAATATACTTAAAGTACCACCTGCAGAGGGATCTAGATTCAGGTGTTCTTTTCCCCATAGCCTCGCTGCACATTATCCCTTGCATAAAGATAGATTGTGGGTCCCTTATAACATGTTGTACACAGTGGAAATAAACTGAATCAAACGGTCACGGTAGCCTTACCTTACTGATCCCTCTTACAATAGAAGACACACACGTTACTTTACCAGCAGAGAGAAAATGGATTATTAAATTATTAATGTGACTAATAAAGAGCAGTTTGATTATTAAGTATTATTCTGTTGATGGGTGTCATTACATTTGTTGAAAAGCACATAATGACTTGTTTAAGACTCGTTTTGTCAAAGTTTAGGACTTGGCTTGAACTTTCCCATCCTGACTTGAGACTTGACTTGGACTTGAGCGCCAAGACTTGAGACTTGACTCGGACTTGAGCGCAAAGACTTGAGACTTGACTCAGACTTGCAAAACAATGACTTGGTCCCACCTCTGGAAAGAGGTAACCACAAAGCGATATTTAACTGAAAATACTAGGGAAATGTTTACTCATAATTTTTCATCCACACTTGCCCCTGCTAACATCTCAGTAAATGAGCTAGTAGATCATTTTAATTCAAAAATTAAAAATGTTATAGATACCATTGCTCCAACTAAGGTAAAGGAAGTGATTGGCAAGAAAATATCTCCATGGAGAAAGGCCATGACCGTGAGAACAGAAAAAAGAGAGTGTCGAAAAGCTGAACGTAGGTGGCGAAAAACAAATCTCCAGGTTCACTTTGAAATCTATAAAGAGAGACTTGGCCTTTATAATTTGGAATTGAAAAACGCACGACAGTCTTTCTTCTCTGACATCATTACCAAAAACAAAAACAACGCACGTGCCTTGTTTGCTACCGTCGACAGACTAACTAACCCCCCAGTGTCAGTAGCATCTGAATTTCTATCCACCAGGGCATGCAATGATTTTGCCTCCTTCTTCACTGACAAAATTCAGAAAATTAGACAAGCAGTCAGTGCCTCTGCATCAGGTACAGCAAATGTGTTGTCCCTGTATCCACCTAATATCAATTCAAACATCATGACACAATTCCATCAGATTAATGATAAAAACCTAGAGGACATTATTCAACTTCTGAAATCCTCCTCCTGCTGCCTTGATATTATTCCAACAGGATTTTTCAAAGATGTTTTTCATTGCATGGCCTCAGATCTACTTCATATAGTAAACACATCTCTTCACTCAGGTATTTTTCCACAGGCACTGAAAACTGCAGTCATTAAACCGCTCTTAAAAAAGAATAATTTAGATGCTTCAGTAATGAACAATTACAGGCCAATATCAAACCTGCCATTTCTAGGTAAAATCATTGAAAAAGTTGTATTTCAACAGTTGAGTAACTTCTTGCATTTAAATAACTGTTTGGATGTGTTCCAGTCAGGATTTCGTCCAAACCACAGCACTGAGACTGCTCTTGTAAAGGTCTTCAATGACATCCACTTAAACACAGACAGTGGCAGAACTTCAGTGTTAGTATTATTAGATCTCAGTGCTGCGTTTGATACTGTTGACCACAACATATTACTAGACCGACTAGAAAACTGGGTGGGACTTTCGGAAACAGTTCTAAATTGGTTTGAGTCCTACTTAAAGGACAGAAAAAACTTTGTTTCTATAGGTAAATACACATCTGAGTTGACAAATATGACATGTGGGGTACCTCAAGGCTCCATCTTGGGGCCTCTTCTCTTTAACATCTACATGCTACCACTGGCTCAGATAATGAAAAACAACAAAATAAGTTACCATAGCTATGCGGATGACACACACATTTACGTAACAATTTCACCAGGAGATTATGCTCCAATTCAAACACTGAGTAAGTGCATTGAACAAATCAATGACTGGATGTGTCAGAACTTTCTCCAATTAAACAAAGATAAAACTGAGGTAATGGTTTTTGGAGCCAAGGCAGAACGTATAAAAGTTAGCGCTGAGCTTCAGTCTGCAATGTTCAAAACAACAGATAAAGCCAGAAATCTAGGTGTAGTCATGGACTCTGACCTGAGTTTCAACAGTCACATTAAAACAGTTACTAAATCAGCCTACTATCACCTAAAGAATATATCCAGGATTAAAAGACTAATGTCACAGCAGGATTTGGAAAAACTTGTCCATGCTTTTATCTTCAGTAGACTGGACTACTGTAATGGTGTCTTTACAGGCCTCACTAAAAAATCTATTAGAAAGCTGCAGCTAATTCAGAACGCCGCTGCTCGAGTCCTCACTAACACTAAGAAAGTGGATCACATCACTCCTGTTCTGAAGTCCTTACACTGGCTTCCTGTGTGTCAAAGAATAGATTTCAAAATATTGTTGCTGGTTTATAAAGCTTTGAATGGTTTAGGCCCAAAATACATGTCTGACCTACTGCTAAATTATGAACCATCCAGAACTCTCAGGGCTTCAGGGACTGGTCAGCTTTCTGTCCCCAGAGTCAGAACTAAACATGGTAAAGCAGCGTTCAGTTATTATGCTCCAAATATCTGGAACAAACTCCCAGAAACCTGCAGGTCCGCTGCAACTCTTACTACTTTTAAATCCAGGCTGAAGACTTTTCTTTTTGCCGCTGCTTTTAATTGAACTATTCATATCTTAAACTGCACTGTAACTTTTATCCATGTATTTTTTCTTTTAATGTTTATTTTATTATCTTTTATTTTTAATGACTGATTTTAAATGCCATTTTCTTAATGTCTTCCATTTTTGTAAAGCACTTTGAATTGCCTTGTGTTGAAAGGTGCTATATAAATAAACTTGCCTTGCCTTGCCTTGCCTTACCTACTTGCACAAAATAAATTTTTTTCCTGGTGATGCTTACGCTTTCCTCAAGGTACATTTTGCTGCCTCCTCTATTTTCAAAACTAGTGACTTCATGTATATATAATATATTGACAGCTGTGTTTTCATATACTGCAAATAATTAATTAAGAAAATACAAAAAATACAATCCAAACTGTTTTGTTGAGTGGCAAACATCTAGTTTTTAGAACATGTCATTATCTCACATTAAAGTACTTCACATCAGATTCATTTCATGAGTTAAATAGATATTTCCTCAGCCTTTTTAAAGTGTCTTATACTCTGCAGCTCTTACCAATAACAACACCTCCCTGAAACACCTCTGACTGAATAAAACATGGCTGATGGCACAAAGGGACCTGGTGCCATGTATCTGTGTGTGTGTGCGTTTGTCTATGTGTTATTCACAGGTCTCCTACCATCACGGCATCCCATTAGCAGATCGGCAGTTATAACCTGGTATCCTAGGTTACGGCCTTCCCAGTCACTCCCAGAAGACACACATCCAGGATAGTGCCCACTCTGTCTCTCGGTGTGTGTGTGTGTGTGTGTGTGTGTGTGTGTGTGTGTGTGTGTGTGTGTGTGTGTGTGTGTGTGTGTGTGTGTGTGTGTGTGTGTGTGTGTGTGTGGGGGGGGGGGGTCACAGGTTCAAACCCCACTGCAGTCAGCATGTCGTTGTGTCCCTGGGCAAGACACTTCACCCCATATTGCTCCTGTGGGGATTGTCCACTGTGTATGTAATGTAATGTGTGTGTGTATGTCTGTGTGTGTTTGCATGTGTATGTGTGGACCGGTGGGTATGTTGCACAAAAAGGTGAATTTCTTAAACTTCAGGATACCAAAGTAGGGAAAAAAAGTATTTATATTGGTTTCTATTCATCAACTATATATATATGATTAAGTAAATAAATACATACAACCTTGTTTAATGATACGTATACAGACTTAAATCTAAAATGGCATCTATGTTGTTCTATCTTCACCATAAGCAAAATGTACTGCAGTGTTACGCACACCTAACAGTGATGTTTCAGGTGCCCAGATTACACCTGTTGGAGACAGTTTCTGTTTTGTGCAAACAGTCAAAAGAGTATTGCCAACTAGTGGCGACCTCTGGAAGCTGTAATCAATTATGGGAATACAATTGCTATTTCGCTTCAGCCCATTAGGAGAGACTGAAGTGAGCGTTTTGGAACTGAAGATCCCGACGAGACACATCTCCCAACCGTTTAATTTACACCTCAGGGTCATTTAAGTTTGCTAATCATTTTCTTCTTTCTATTTGATTAGATTACAATTTTAAAGTAACTCAAAGGAAATGTGTATTTCTACGAGGTGTCTTAAGTGTTTGAACAGCAAGAACAGACAGCTGTGCATCACTTCAGGAAAGAGATCACATGCGATTGAAGCCAATGTATTTTGTGTACTCACCCTCAGGTCTGTACTGCGCTGCTATGGTAACGGTCTGTCCTGCGTTCTTCAGAGCTGCTGCTGCCTGCTCATGTGTTGCACTGGACAGGTCCACACCATTCACCTACACACAGACACACACACACACACACACACACACATAATATTAGGGCCTTGGATCAATAGTAATTCATGTACACTGAGCTGAGCACACCATTAAGAACACTGTACAGCTTGGTGCATCAATAACTCAACAAATGTGTAGTACGTGTGTACTTTGTGAAAACATGTTTATTGCATTTAATCATTCCATGTCAATGATTTCATTATACGAAGTCATTCTGCAGGGATTATCACTGCCTCGACAATATGAAAACTGAATCCTGTTAAAATCCCATTTGAAGAAAATTAAAGCCATATTTCACTTAAGCAGAACAAAAAATACATAAAAGCGGTAACACACATCCCCCATCAGCCAATAGTAGACACTCATAATGTGTAGAAAACATTAAATATTGCTGGAATTGTCCTTAGATAGAAGAAACAATGAATGCATGGTAAATGTTAAAAGGAGTGCATTTATATAGAGCCTTTCTCCCTGACCAAGCACTTAAAAATGTCCATAAACACACACAGTCATACACCAATGGCGCCAAAGTTGCCATTCAATTCAAAATATTCAGCTTCAGCAAAAGTTACTTTGAGTTGCGACTTCACATTAATACAAAAGAAAATGGAGGATCCAGAGGAAGATAACTTGACAGGATGACTCCCATGGTAACACTTTATAACCTACACAGTAATAATAATAGGATTGGATTTATTTATAATGGTTACAATGCTTGTGTTGTATATCTGTGTGTACTGTTTGTAATACGTGTTAGCAACATACCGACAGGATGCGGTCTCCCTTTCGTAGCTCCCCACAGAGATCCGCTGGACCCCCGGCGAGGATGAAGGAGATGAAGATTCCCTCTCCATCCTCTCCTCCAACAATGTTAAAACCGAGACCTGTGGTCCCCCGCTGGAGCACCACCCGCCTGGGTTCCCTGGGAGAAACACAAAATAGAGACACACACTTTGTTAGGGTAAGAGATGACGGTATCAAACATGTGGGAACAAATACGTTTATATTTACATTTTTATAATCTGTTTTTTAAGCATGTTAATGTATAACGACCTCAGTTAATAGTTAAGAAGCAATTACTGCCTTTTGCTGCTAAGCTGACTTTTAGTTGTAACTGTTTGACAACATCCTAAGAACCAGTGAAAAGGAGAGGTGGATGATGACATGTTTAGGAAATAAATATAATAAAATCTAATATTTTATACTACATAACTACAAAGGAAAACATATTGAAACTGTAACACATAGTTGCTTTAGAGTATACATTATAATGTTTTCTAAATGTATAATATCTGGGATACTAGCCTATTGTTTAATGCTACATGGTACACCTCAGTGAAAGTAGAGGGCATTTCAAATTGACATAATTCCCCAGGATGTCCAGCAGATGTCAGTAGCGCACTGTCTCTGTTTTGTTGCACCAGCACGATATTAACCATGTCTTAAACAGCCACACTTCTGGTTTCATAATACCTATGTATTGTTTGATTTCATGTCATCCTTACTTTTCACAAACAATCATCATGCAGAAGCCATTCAAAAAAGTGTAAAGTGTTTTGTTAGCGAGTTATCAGGGTATTAATAACTAATCCATACACTGTGCATCCAATACGGGTTTGATCCCCCTTTAGCCTCTCTAGATCAGACATTAACACATTTAAAACTTGCCAAAGAAATGGTCATAACAATTCTGTTTCAACCATCAATTACAGTCATTACAATGATGGGCAACTCAGTTTTAATGCAACAGTTAACTCTGGCCTAATGTTACCTTACATTAAAATGAGTCCCACATATCTCAATAGGTTCCATGCAGTGTGGTGCAGTATACAGATATTACATTGGGGAAAAAGATAGCACTGGTAATCTGTTCCGACAGACCCCCCGAGCTAAGGTGTTGGCATCAGTATATGAGAGAGAGTGTTTCTGTGCACCCCTTGTTCTTCAGCACACATTAACAAATAATCCCACATTAAACCTGAAGTCTCCGGGTTAGAGAAACTGCAGATGTCCTTGAATTGAGCACAAGCGGTGGACACTAATTAAAACCAATAATCTTCTCTCTGCATGACAAACTAATCAGAGAGTGAAGAGGAATGATGAGACAGAGCGCTACAAAATAGAGGGGCAGACGTCAAAATGACCATTCTGCAGTCGGTCTGAGGCTTATCAGATTTATTATAATCAAAGCGCACTGATTGGCTCAGAGGGCTATGACAAAACGAGTCGTATTCTGGTTACCACGGTGACGCCAGTTGTGTGACGAGGGTTGTGTGATAGACTGTAATACCTCCATTAAAATGGATTAAAAACAGTAGAGCAGCACAGAAAGAGTATCTGAATGTGTGTGTGTGCGTGTGTGTGTACATATGTGACCTGAGTTTACATGCCGGACCAAATTCTCACTGCCATCTGCCCTTTGCTGCCAAACACGCACACACTCAAAGACACACACATGCACACACACAGCATGGAAGGCCGTCAGGGACAGAGGTCACTGTGTATTTTGGGCTCTCTAAGGACTCTGTTTCCCAATCTGGTGTTGTGGATCTAATTGAGGGCCACTTAAGACCTCAGAGCGGGACATGACACACACAGCAAGGAGAAACGAAAGAAAGAGGAAGTGCAGCTCGTAGTACATAAAAAGAAGCTTTGATGAAATAAGAAATGTCTTTGATGGACAATACAGATGTCTAACTGACCTAATATTAAGCCTCAAAAGTTTCTTATACATATACCCCTTTCACACCGGCGCTTTTCCAGCTCCTGCTGGGAGCTAGAGCCTGAAAAGCGCCGGTTTTTCCTGTTCACACCGCAGCGGCGGCGCGTCATAGCTCCGGAATGCGGTTCACTTCCAGCTCCAAAAAATTGTCGGTCCAGAGGCAAGAGCTTTGGAGCTATGACGCGGCGTCGCTTACGTCTCTTACGTCGAGGCGTGCAGGAAACCTTACTTTGACCATCCGTTCGCTGTTATTGATCATTGTGGAGATACATGGGCTATACAGGTTGTCATGTCCGACTATCAGAAGTAGAATCATAATGAAAAATACGCCGGTAAAATGTGCCTATAGAAAACGGCTTAGCAAGTAGTCAGTTTAGCTTCGGTTGCTATGCTAACATCACCCATGTTATACCAGAGAAACTTTCATAACAGCGTTGTGATGCCAAACAGCGTCAATTCAGACTGACACACATTCACTTAAGGGGAACTGGGGATATGTATCAGCTGCTTGTGTGACAGTCAGACAGTGAATACTTTAGAGCCGTGTGAGCTAACCCGGAGCTAATGGGAGAATACACCCGTGGAAGAGCAGCCAGCACTGCAGCGGTCGGTAAATGCCGCTGAAACACATTAATAAACAATGAACCACGGCACTCTGGAGAAAAGTATAAGGTTGGAGAAGTCGTTATTTAATTTAATCTGGCTTCGTATGATTAAAAGCAACACGATCATCGACCCGACGCAGTCCCCGGCCCGTTGTTGTTGTGGGAGAAAATCAGCGACGTAAACTGTGACGTCATGACGCAGCAGCGGCAGCTCTGGGCAGTGTGAACAGAGCGGGAGCTGAAAAGGGAAACGGGAGCTGAACCAGAAAAGCTCTCGCGAGGAGCTAGAAAGTGAAAAGCGCCGGTGTGAAAGCCGCATTAGTGTCTGTTTTATATTCATCTCCATTAGTTTTGGATATGCGGTAGTCGATACGTTAAAATATAATTAATTGCATTAACCCTTTGTTGCAATACAATGAATTGGTTTCTTAAACCCAAAATAAGCCATAAATTAAACCATACTAAGATGCGACAAGTTATTATATTTAATCTTTTTTTTATTGAGTGTAACAATCTAACCCAAGCCATTATCTAATGTAACATATAACAGTAAGTCATTAAAGATATCTAGATAAACTAAGTTTGTATACACATTAAGCCTCTGTTCTGTATTTAGTTATCTTAGGAAACCCAGGGAGGATTTAAAAAATAAATACATTACTGTTATGTTTGTTTTTGCAGTATAGTTAATTTGGAATCACAGTAAAAGAGTATTTTGTTTCCTTTCTCCCATACATGTGTAGGTGTGTGTGTGAGGTCTTACCTCGGGATGTCGTCTTCTCCAGTCATCGCCCTGGGCAACGGAGAGTATCTGGGCGTGGTCAGCGGGGCGGGGCTTACAGACTGGCTGCCGCTCATGTAGGGGCTAATATGGTTGTCTTGATGTGGGGAGTACGCTGAAGGAAGAAACACGCACATTATTTTACCATACAGTTATACATACACTATCTTTCTATCTGTATCCGCACTTTTTTGTTCATTGTTAGTATGGAATTAAACATCCTCATCTGACCTTATATGGCATTTCCAGTTTCCATTTCCTCTGACAATCAATCGCAGCTCATACTGTCTTATTTTAAGACAATCACTCAAACTGTTAATGAACTATTTATAGTGCGCTGTGTTGGAGATATGTGGAGAGATGGTGGTGTGATATATGCTGTTTGGTAAGGTGTTAGATTTACAGCAGTAATAAAATACATGTTGTTTGATAATTTGCTGAATTTGGAGCGGCGACAAGTGGCTGTTATCCACTAGGCCAAATGTACCCAGTCTGATTTTCAGACTGTTATGTAACACATTTAAAGCTGTCTGGTTGATGTCAGTATGTCTTTTAAACCACAACATAGAAAAAATCAACTGAAATTAAAAATACTGAAATGATATGGTATGAGCACCTAATGATAAGGATAAGGACTATTTTCTTTACTTATTCTGACGTTAAAGAAGTAGTTATATCTTCAACGACATCCTTGATTCAAACTCTTACAGGTAGCTCCAGGACTGCCATGTTTGCAATGTCAACCACTAGTAGAAACATGTGTTTTCTAGTGTGTGTTGAGCAATACATATTTATGGTTCAGCACTCATCATTGAACAGTCCACTGTGGTATAAGGCACTAAAGTAAACATGTATGGTGAGGTCTATTAACCACTGAGAGTAAAGTCTGTTGTTATTTGAACCCAAACCACAGTCTTTGCCTAAACCTCACCAAGACAAGAGTTTATTTTGAAAAGACTGTAGTATGTGGAAATTGTCACGTATTGCTTGACATTTGAGGATATGTTCTGGAAACGTAAGGCTTTTTTTCAAACCATCTAAAGCAAACATCCCAAAAGCCTTCTTCCCCGCTGTTCTGTGCACCATATGGCCCTACATTGCTTCAGCCTCTTGGCTTGATGTTGTAAATAAAGTTCCATAAAATGCCAAATCCCTCAAAAACTCATGTAAGATGAAAAGATGATGGGTGAATCTTGTACTGAAAGGTGTGTGTACTTACAATTGGTGACGTCAGGAGGAGGGAAGTTGTCATTGATAAAAAGGGAGGTGTGTTTGGCCACACGGAGATAAACGACGTCAGGAGTGGACTTCAGCGCAGCCACGGCATCCTCATGAGTCACCTCTTCCAAACAGGAGGCGTTCACCTGGACACACATGAAATCTCTGTTTTCCTGTTTTATTTTGAAAAGTGTTCACCCCCTGTCTTATGTCTGAGTCTGCTTCCTATCTCTGTGTTTTCCCTTCTGTTTGATGACTGATTCTGTTAGTTCTGCATGTATTTAAGTTCAGTTTTTTCTGTTTGTTTTGTGGGTTGTTTGAGTTTGACAAGGAGTGAGTTCTGGTCTGTACGCTGTATGTCAAAGCAACCTTGAATAAAGGTAATTATCTGTTTAAACGATTGTCCCTGCTGAACTTGGGTCCAACCTGCCCTGCTCACCCTGACACACGTATTACCATGTCCAGGCATGCTTAACACATAAGCAACATTATGTCCTTTACAGGCTGCAGCACTGACATACAGTTTGGATTCTATCATGCAGTTTTGTGGCTGCAGATGTATCCTAAAATATATTTCTTGACATTAACTTAATGGAGAAGAAAATGTTATTATAAAGTGTTTTTTTCTAAGTTCAATTTGACTGCTACTGTTTAAAAATATCCTTTAACAGGCTCAGAAGAGTACAAATCTAATTTACTTGTGTTCACTATCCTTCTTTATAACAACTTATTTAGTCCTTTAAGGTAATTAACATAGAACGTCATTTGTAAGGATATAATAAACCAATGCAATGGAGCACAAACCTGTTTTTGCTCAATTCTTAATTAAAATGATAAACAAGGAAGTCAACCTACATTTTGAAATGTTACTGTAAAATAATTACATTTTCTGGTTTTGTTAAGGGCAATTCATTTTATATTTGGTATTAGTAAGGGAAATGTATGACACGTAAATAAAAGTAATTCATGGAATTAATAATTTGGAGCTTCATTCCCTTACGGAGTAATACGTAGTTTTATTGGATTAGAAGGTACCAAGTGTTGATGTGTGAAATGTAAAGCTTTGCATTTAAGACGAATACAATCTGCTGACTAAGATTAATGAAAGGGGTTTCCTTACAGCCATAAGTTTGTCCCCTATCTGTAGCCGTCCGTCTTTGTGTGCAGCCCCTCCTTCGATGACCTTCGTCACGTAGATACTGTTGTCCCCCGGGACATGTTGGTTTCCGACTCCGCCTGCTATACTGAATCCTAAACCTGAGAGAAAACATCAACAGGTCATATTTTTGTATGCAACTTCTGGGTTTCCTGAGGACAAGCATACTGCTATATATCTCCATATACTGCAGTGCTGCAATTTCTCAGTCTCAGGCCCTTTTGAACATTTCTGACATTTAGATTTTTTATTTAATACAATTTACTGCATAGTAAAAAGTGAAATCCAATTAGTTAAACCATACCATCTCATATATTTAATATTTCAAAGCTTTATTGGCTCTATTAGTCTTTTCTAGAACCTGCCAAATCAGAATACTTTATATTTACCGCGGGAACATGCTGACTCAGAAAAGCCTCATCATACTTTCTCACTGTCGCATCGGTTAATGTCTTTATCATCTGTTTTTTCACAAAGTATATTCTACTCGCAGCCTCCTATGTAGGTTCTGTTTACCTTCTGTAGTGTTTTCTCACCTTTGGGCCCTTTGACCAGCTTGATATCCAGGACCCTCTCGCTCAGGCTCCTCCTGCGCCGTATGCACAGTCGGACCAGACCTCCTGCGTCCTTCAGCGCCTCCACCGCCCCGCTGTGGGTCACGTCCCTGACGTCCGTCTCATTTACCCGGACTATACAGTCGTTCACCCTGCACAGGAAGATAATTACCTTGCATCAGGAGCTTATGAAGAATATAAATGACACACATACAGTCTTAAGCTCAAATGATAGTGCTTCTCTCTGAAACAAGAGGTCTAGTTTGGAGACCTTGATCTTTTGTAAAGAAAGCAAAGAAAGTGGGAGCAAGCTGTTGTCAACATCTTGTAGTTGTTGTGTCTTGTAAGCTATACAAATAAGAACAAATAATACTTTTACTCAATTATTGTACTAAATACAATTTGAAGGTACTTTACTGGATTATTTAAATGTCATGATTCTTTCCATTTCTACTTTATATATTTTGGATAATTATACTGTACTTTTTATCCCACTTCATTTATTTGACAAATATAGTTACTATTTACTTGCTTGATTCAGATTATTCATAATTATAAAACGGACAAGTCAAATCAAGCAATCTGATTGGTTCTTAGCCGTGATATACTGAGCGTATACCACGGGTAGAATTGTAGTTACTTTTCACAACAAGTCAGTATCCCTCCGCGTCTGAGAAAAACTGTATACAGTTGGGCTGAAAAGCAAAGGGTCGACAAGGGGTCGACCCTTCGCGTCGGGCCGAACCACGCCCCTTAGCTGTGATATACTGAGCGTATACCACGGGTAGAATTGTAGTTACTTTTCACAACAAGTCAGTATCCCTCCGCGTCTGAGAAAAACTGTATACAGTTGGGCTGAAAAGCAAAGGGTCGACAGGGGGTCGACCCTTCGCGTCGGGCCGAACCACACCCCTTAGCTGTGATATACTGAGCATATACCACGGCCTGTCGTGAGCTATTGCTTAAATATAAATCAACTAGTAAACTACAATATGTATTGTTTTACCTTTAAGAACTGCACAATTAAAGTTATAGTCCAGAAGTATGATTTGTTAAAAAAGTTTAACATTGCATTTCAGAGTTATGACTAAGATTTAGTTTAAAATAACAATACTGATAGGGTATGTATGTGTGTGTGTGTGTGTGTGTGTGTGTGTGTGTGTGTGTGTGTGTGTGTGTGTGTGTGTGTGTGTGTGTGTGTGTGTGTACCTGAGTCGTCCATTTTGGGCAGCGGCCCCTCCAGGTATAATCTTGGTGATGAAGATAGAGGGGTCTTCTCCGATGTGAGGGTTATCAGTCCCTCCTGCGATACTGAACCCCAGACCTGAGTTACCCTGCTCAGACACACAGATACAGAGAGTGTATTACAGGTAAAACACTTTCCAAACACACATACAGTATTGGTTTTACAAGATAATTGTTGATGCTAGACGTGTTGGTCATCTAAGACAAACAACAGTAATTATCAGCTGGAGATGCAAACGTCAGGCACAAATCAGTGTGGAAAGAGGACAATAAATAATACAGGATTTATTATTCCCATTGCCAACATTAACAAGAAGCATCTACTAAATACTATACTTATCTAAATGGCATTCATTGCAAAACTACATTTAATATCCCCCCAATTTCAACTTATTACAAAACTGATTCATCACCTGAACAAATGATATGTATAATATCTTTCTCCACATATCACATTTTTACCAAATAATACATAATAGATCACACCATGACTTCATCACAGCCATTTCTCTGAGTATGTTTCGCTCACTCTCTCGTGCTTTGTCACTGACTTTTAGAGCTAGTGTAATGTCTGTGGCTGTGATGCGTGTGTGTCCATAGTGTCTTTAAAGCAGATCCAGTCAGGCAGACAGAACCAGGTCACACGAGAATAGAGAGAGAGGCAGGGAGAGAGCCTCCGGGTGAGAGAAAGGAGAATATAATGAGAGAGGGAGGATGAGGATGAGGAAAATAAAGAAGGGAAGGAAGGAGGAGGAACGGAGAGGAGGGGGAAACAGGGTTATCAGGGTCGGAGCGATGGACTAGGAAGATAAATGAGAAACTAGCTGACAGAGCTGATAAAGGTTTTATGAATAATGTTTTATAGCCTTTTGTTGCTTTTGAGTTGCATTTCTATCAGCTTTAAATACATTTTAGTTTCTGAACAGGGGGTTTGATGTGAATTATGACATTTCAGTGTATAAAATAAGCCCGCATGTGGGATGTATGTAAGTCTTTACCCGCTCCAGCGTGATTTCCTCATACTCATAGTCTGCTTCTGTTCCATTGACCTGTCAGGGAGAAGAAGAAAAGGAAAAGTGTGTCGATTAAGAGTAAATGCGTAAAGCTGTTTTCCTGTAATGGACACTCAAACGCTCATTAGATATCACGCTACAGCTTTTAACATTCATAATTGATATGCAGCGCTTTTCCTCCGTGTCAGTTGCTATTGACAGGTACACAACCTCTCATGTGGTCACATCCTGTCTCTCTGCAGCCATGTTTCCTTTTACCCAGGATCCTTCATTAATGCCATTTCCATTCATCCATCAGATACCATCTTTCTCAAACACCTGACTGATCCTCCGTCAGACCTTCGTAATGACGTCAGTGACACATGTTGCATTTCACCTTTATGTTTAACCCTGGTGTCACCAAGCATCGCATTATTTCTGCCAGTATTCTGTGTCACAGATTATTATCAAGTAATGCAAACATCAACAAACAAATCAGAATTATAGAAACGCAAAAATAGACATTTGATCTTTTATGAATGACGCATGAATCCCAGAGATTAAACTGGTAATGCGTGCTTAATGATGATGTACCTCTGATGTCATATTTAAGACCCATGAGCCAATCACGCTGCTCGGCCGGCTCTACTGTACTAGGAAACATATTAACATCTAGATTTCCGGACTGACTGAACAACACATGGAATTAAATCTGATCTGAGCTCACTATTATATACTTTTGTGTTCCAGACCGCTTATACTTTGGAGATGAGTGTCTTGTTCCCGCTATAGCTGCTGCAGGCAGGCAGGCAGGCAGGCAGGCACGCACACACAAATCACACACACACACACACACACCCACACACACACACACACCACACACACCACACACACACACACACACACCACACACACACACACACACACACACACACCACACACACACACACACACACCACACACACACACACACCCACTACAACACACACCACCCACACCACCACACACACAAACACACACACACACACACCACACACACAACACACACACACACACACACACACACACACAACACACCACACACACACCACTGGTAGAGTGGCATCCCATGGCCCATGTAATCCCCCTTTGGCTGTAATCTGTGTCTCTATGCAGTCAGATTAGTTAGTATTTGCAATTTTCTGTTCGTTTCAAACAGAGGGCAAAAGCTTCCAGAAGCCACCCATGAGCAGTGGTTCTGTTATCACCTACAATAACGGATAATATCAACATCAAAATATACCTTTTTTCTCGAGAATTAAGGGCAATAATTGAATGTCCCATCTTAAGCTAGAGTTCAACAAACCTTGTAAAACCTATTTGTGATTAATGGTCCTGCTTAATAGAGTTAATTTATTAACAGAAAATGACTGATTTTCAAAGTTATAGATTCTACTTCCTATAGACAGAGTAAAGATAACTTGCCTTGTGTATCTGCAGTGCACATTTTACATCAATTGTCTCTAAAAAGAGGCTCAACATAACACCCTTTCAGCAACAAGAAAACACAACATTTTTCATAGATGATAAAAGTAAAGTGTGTTTCCCGTATTTCGTTTAACAGTAAAATAAGTACAATCTGCAGAAGATAAATAAGTGTCCCTCTTTCTGTATTTTTGAAGCAGTTCAGCAGGGAGTAATTCCACAGTAATTCCATAATAAACTTATCTAACAACCACAGACAGTGATTCTCGGTGGCAGCTGGCCACCAGTAAAATCACATCTGGACCCATCCAATTCTGGCCTAGAAAGCTGCTAGCACCATATGTATTTGTATTGGGGAGAAAGGTTGACATTTCTCAACATTCAAAGATACAACTTCAAAAAGTGCTGCAAATCTTTACAGAGTAAGATATTCTTTCATATGACATTTCCATGGCTGGTATTTGTTTACAGGGAGTTACAGGGAAAGTATTGCAGATACAACTGGAATTTCATATGGAGGCAAAATACAAGATACAAATTGTATTTATTATACTATAAAAAAAACCTGACTACAAACAGGTGTTCATCACTGGTTTATTTTCTCACATATGGTGTGTTTTTGTCGTATTAAGTACAAAGCTTTCTCAAAGTAGGGGTTAAATAAATAAATACATTAGAAATACCAAATGTACAAGTGTAGGTCCACCTTAAAAGGCTGTGTACTGTAAGGTGTTGTGTTAAATGTAAATTGCTGCATAAGAACATCTTATTTGACTTTGCTCAGGTAACTACATTAAAGAATAAAATTGTAAGTAGATTTGGCAACAACTTTACACGGTGCAAAGTACACAGTTGGAGGTTTTACATTTCATTAGGAGTATATGTGAAGCAGTACTCACATATGGGGGGGTGTCGACGCTGTCGGTGTTGACCACCACTGGAGGGGGGTTGGCCTGCAAGAGAGAACAGCAAAGTGATTAAACATTTATAGCGCGAAGGAAATTATCAGGAAACCTAAGACATACAGTATGTATTTCACCAAGACGACGATGGTCCATGTAAACTGAAATGAACCGCACATACACACAGAGATCTGAGGTAGAGGACTTACTCGTCTCATGTTTTGGTACAGCATGTTGAGTACATCTGCTACAGATTACCACTACGGAGCGACAGCAAACACCGCATGACATACTGCACAGCCCTTATATTGGACAATACTAAAGTACGGCACTACAAAACCGCACTGTAACATAAAGCTCCGTTACTGTGCCAGAAAGTACTCAGAGCAACTTAGTACTGCGCCACAAAGCCTGTACTTTTACATTTTAGATTGAACTCTGATGTAGATACTATACTCTACTAGTCTGTCCTCTCAACTGCATGAGTCCTGAGTTACATCAACATCCCAGATCCTTCTACTTTGTTATGGATCCATACTGAAATACCCAACAATAACAATCTCCCCCTCTCTCTGGTGTGCTGTCTTGTTCTTCCTTCCTGCCCTCCCCCCTTCTTCTTCTCTAAGCAAAGTCTCCTCTTTCTCCCTGGCCTCTACGGTCCCGGTCTGAGCAGGTCACTTTTCAATCTAAAAGAGCTCGGGTTAAAGAAGCAGCAGCAGATGACTGACATTATCTTTCCTCTTGCTTCCTACACTAACACAGCAAATGTGAAATCTCACTCTAGCTAATACTTAGCCACAAGGTGTCTTTTTCCTCTTATGTTTGCAAGTTGAGCACCATACCCCATCTTATGCCACCTGTCTCCACTTTTACCCCTCCTCTCCTCTTACTTTCTCCCAAGAGAAATGTAATGCTCTCCGAGTCCAGCGTCTGCAGCTCTAGCCTCTTCCAGCAAACCAGCAGTGAGCAAACCAGTCCATATAAATTAATCTGAAGTTCCAGTTCTTGTTCTGAAGCCAAAAAAACTAACAAATCAGCGAACCAAACATCAAACAAGCTAGCAAACCAAATGGACAGTGTACCCAGACTTCACTTCACGGCATCAATGTGCAACAGACAGCAATAGCATCTATCCCGCTACACTAATCTCTACCTCCCTCATCCCCCCTTTTTCTACTCCTTTATCTTTTCTCTCTCACACACACACACACACACACACACACACACACACACACACACACACACACACACACACACACACACACACACACACACACACACACACACACACACACACACACACACACACACACACACACACACACACACACACACACACACACACACACACACACACACACACACACACACACACACACACACACACACACACACACACACACACACACACACAAATTATCTCACTCCATGTATCTCTCTCTCTCTCTCCACCACATGTCAAACTGTCTGTCAGTCAAGCTGACAGGATGCTTGATCCCACACGGGAACAGAAAGGGAGAGAGAGGGGGGATCAGAGGGATTATACAGTACGTATGGTGGGAGGAGTCAAATCGGCCCGATCAACAACAGCGATGAGGAGCAGAGGGTGCAGACAGATGCAACCCCCCCACCAATAAGAACAGACATGAGTTAAAGTCGTAATGTTGGGAGAACAGAAACGAATGAAAGAAGGAGGCAGTGGGGAGGAGACAGTAAGGAACTTGCTGACATCTGCAGCTGTTAGGGTGTGTGTGTGTGTGTGTGTGTGTGTGTGTGTGTGTTGATGTGTATTAATGATGTAGGTGATACAATCTATAGATTTGCCTGTCCCACTATTTTGGCCAAACTTGATCCACTCGATATATATCAAATGCACCCTATAGGACTCATCATTGCACACTGTATAGCCTAACTGGATGGTCCTCACTTACTATGCGTAGGATGCAGCACTGGTTTTTATTAATGTATAAAGCCATTTTAGGTAAGCTTCCACTGTATATATGTGCCAGATTTGTTCCAGTTTGTAACTCTTACAACCTCAGATCCAGTGCCTGGATACGGTTCCAGGTACGTGCTGTGCGGACTGAGGCTGGAAAAAGGAGTCTTTTTTATTATGGTCCTTGGTCTTGGAATGACCTTCAATCAAGCCTAAAACTGATGGCAGTTCTTTTAAATTGAAGTTCTCTGAGGTCCTTTCCACCAGCTGCTCTTGCAGTAATAAGTAGTGCACCTTTCTTACTGTCCTAAATGTGCACAATGTAGTGACTGCTTTTTCGTCTTTTGTTTTCTTAGTTGTGTTCTGTGTATTTTACATGTTTGTGTTATGTGTAACGTTGCTGCCTTCTTGGCCAGGTCAGCATCAGGGGAGAAAGAAAGATTTACAAGTGGAGGATCAATTATGCTGTATACAAGGCAATCATAAGTCCTCATATTTTCAAGTCTTTCCCAGTTGATTCCATGAAACAGTACAATGGTACACTCTCATGATGTGTAATTTGAGCCTTTGAGTCTTTTTTTTACGTGTGGGAGTAAATAATACGTTTTATATTTCAAAATCGTGTAACCATGAAGTATACACTTAACATCACCAAAATGTACTTAACATATAAAAAGTTAAAGCACTCATTAGGCAGCAGAATGGTCCCTGTCAGAGGTATATTATTATAAAGATATCATTTTTAAGGATTGCATAAACTTAAAGGAGGCATTCATGTGCTCAGAATGCAGTTGTTCCTGTTCAGTGCATCACATTTTATAAAGTTTTGATTAAAATAGATGCAGGTGAGAAAACAGTACAATATTTCCCTCTAAAACGCATCAGCGTAGAAGTATATAGTATTATTAAATGGAAGAAGTTAAGTACACATAGGTCAACATTGAAATTACAATACTAACAGTTGACTCTACTTCTGATTTCAAAATAACACTGCAGATTATTTCAAGATATAAACCCCTTTAGAGTTGGCAGTTGGTATTTGTATGTAAATAGCAAAGATGAAAAAATAAAAGTCGCCCAAAATGTAATTTAAAAATGAGGAACAATCAATATCACCAGAGGAACCTAGATAATAATGATTAAAGAACAAATGATACACTTTTATCCAAACTTTTTCTTATCAAATACTGGATACTTTCTCTTCTACAGGCCTGTAGAAATCCTGAACAATGAAAACCCTGTGTAGGAAAAAATGACTGCTTGAACTTTGTCTACAGTACAGGTCCTGGCCTGTGTGATGTGGGGTCACAAGTTCCTAAAGTTAACTAGTCTGTCACTCTGAGTCCACTTCCGAGCCTGAACTTTACCTGACTCTTGCACCATTGTAACACCAGCCCTGTACAAAGCAGAACACTTATTATGTGTGCATGTTTGTCTGTGTTTATGTGAGTGTGTCATTCACAGAGCGGCAAATCCAGTGGGTCTGTCAGCTGGTGATTCCATTGACACGCCATGTCAGACTGCACACTTATGTAACGTCAATTTGAGTGTGTGTGGGTGTGGTTGTGGTTGTGTTACATGAAAGGCCAAGAGAACAAACGTGCAAATATAAACAAACAAGCACGAACACACACATAGACAAACACACATCCTCCATATCCAGACAGTGTGTTTCTGCTCTGTGCAACTGAGTGTTAGTTGTTACATAAACTGTTACACCAGCTGCGTTATAATGGCCTTATGGCCTGTTCCAGTCCAGTACAGCTTAGAAAGAGATCCAGAGTATCTGTGGTTTGTCTCATCAGGCAGAAAGACAGACAACATTGCAGGATGTTTAAATATGTGTCGGCAGGGGTGCTGGGTTCCCTCATCGTAATTATTCAATTAGAAATTAGCAGATGATTGGATAAGCAGAAAATCAAGGATACCAAAATATCTAAATGATGCACAACAGCAGCTTGTTAGATAATAACTCCTTCATATAATCTCATGTACACCCTCATACATTCAGGAACATGAAAAAGTCAGAGGGCATACAGGAAATGTTACACATTTGCGGAATGATGAGTGTTGCACTTGTCTAAACACTTCATTTTGACGTTACTTGATTAGCTACATTACTTTTCATTCATACGTAGAAGCCATTGTTACGAGTCGATGACTGATGCTCACATTAATACACACAAATACTACCCTCCTCATATCCATGACCACGGTCCTACTAATGTGCAGTGAAACTCCATTCGACTAACGAGCTAATCAGATGAAGTGCGACTCTAATCAAATCAGAACGACCATGCTAATCACGCTAATTAGACAATCTCTAGATAGCAGACGTACATACAGCGCAATGACTACCCAACCGATAGCTGATAACAGGCAGCTGCATGATCTTTATAAACTCACTATAGCACAGTTTATACAATACAAGCCTTCTCTTATTTCGATAGAAAACTCATTAAACCACGATCTGCTTTGTCTGTGAGAGTAACAACCTGTACTATGAACCTAATGTATTTATATACAACGCTCAGAGTGCAGTTCAGTGTGGAGAACAGCACTGAAGCACTTCAGGCTGTCAGCGCCTCACTTAAAAGGGAAATATATATATAATAGTGATAAAAGTACAACACTTAGGGGTTTGCTCACAGCGGTCAGTGTAGGGCTGCTCGATTATGGCAAAAATCATAATCTCGATTATTTGGGTCAATAATTGATATCACGATTATTAAAACCGATTATCCATTTACTTTGAAAACATCCATTTATTGAAAAAAAAATGTGAACAGTATGTTTATAACAGTTAATTACCTTGAACTTTAAGTATAATTCAACTGAAAAACCAATAAAAAAAATAAGAAAAAATAAATAATAATAATAATAATCGTTTTATTTCGATTATGTTGTTTTCATAATCGTTGCAAGCCAAAATCGTAATTGCGATTAAAATACGATTAATTGAGCAGCCCTAGGTCAGTGTACTGTGAAGAAGTCTCATGGTGATACTGTGTGTCGGATGAGAAGGGACATTTCTTCCCTTCTCTTTGTGTCCCATCATTCCTTTAGCATCTGATATACTTTGACGTATTGATTCCAGGAGAACATTAAGGCAATA